AAATTTTTATCTCTCCAAAGCCACTTTAGAGCTCTATATTGGAATAAACTACTAGCAAGTATGAGATTTCGTGTGTGGAATGAACCAGGGATGATGTGGGGAAAAGCCAAAGCATTTATTTTAATTAATGGTCGAAATAGGGGGCCAAATTCTGCTGTTGGTTACGTCAGCATAAATATGAAACAGCTTTGTGGAATTACATTAAGCAGTGTTGGATTTCTATAATGTCTTTAGAGAACGTTTTAGTCTTTGGCTGTTTTTTGTGTGCAGAATTGTATCATCTATTTTGATAATGTGTAGGAGGTTTGGAAGAATTGATGTCAATATAAAACAAAAACACTTTAGAAATCAAACAGATTATCATTGTGAGTTGCATAATTTATTTTTAAAAAAACACGCACAAGCTTACACACCCTAAGGAAACATTTATGCCACAGAAAGTTCTCATAAAGGGTATAATTCCCAATAGACCATGGAAAATGTTATTTATAACCCTGATAGAACTGCCAGTCAGCTCTTTTGATGTAAAGCATCTGTCTCATAAAGGAAATGAAGGAAGGGCTGTTTTTCCTTTCAAGTCTCTGAAGTAGTAGGTGGTGTCATTTGTTATACAGTGCTACAAGTCCTGTATTATTGGATTGGTAGCTGCTGACTGCCTTTGTTAACATGCTGAAAAGTTTCATGAGCTGTCTTTAATAAAAGGCTATATATGTTGAGGAAAAAACTGTAGTGAATGTGGCTGGCTCTCTGTCCCCAGCCCATCAGTTACTGCTGTCAGGGAGTGATGACACGGATGTCTAATCAGTCAGTCACCTGAAATTCCTGTGTGTTATAATAAACTGCAGGCACCTAGACATTGCAGTGATCAGTGCCCTATGCTTACAGTGGGTAGGTCACATGCACTGTTGTTCATTTGGGAGACCTGTACTCTTTGTTGTTTGAAACAGGGAGGAGTTTGTATGAATTTTCAGCCCCATCTGAAATAACACAATCCATTCATCACAACTTGACATGGTATTTTTACTTGCATTAATGGCCCCAAAATAGGTGATTTGGTAAAATTACAAAGGTTATCAGAGACATGTGTTGGCTTTCTTTCCTTCCCCACCCCTTCCTCCATCCCTTCTCAGCCCGTTATAGTGAAATTGCTTTACCAAGTTAAACAAAAAATAGTATAAGGAACCTTTACTTGACAGAGCAGGGGAATACAGTTGTTTATTCCAGAGCTATTGTTTCCATATTACCTGCAATTGCATTGTAAATCCATGGATCAGAAAGAGAACAGAAAGCAATACTGAAACTGGTATAAGAAACAAATATATTTACGAATGTTTTAGAGGTTACATTCAGAAGTTTAGAGCTTACATTCAAAAGTTACATTTAGAGTTTGCATTCAGAAAATAACATGCTCCACAAGGGTTTCTGTAGTTTGCTGTGCCTAGCTGATGTATCACTCAGATTAAATTCAACCAGGGCAAATGCAAAGTCATGCACTTAGGATGGAATAATTGTATGCAAAAATACAAAGTGAAGAATGATTGACTAGGCTACAGTACTTCAGGGAAGGACTTGGGAGTTACAGTGGACCATAAGCTGAATATGAGCCAACAGTGTGTTTCACAAACCTGTCATTCTCCCAAAGCCCCAAGTTTTCTCCCCACTGTGCTGCCCAACACTTGCCCCATGGAACAAACTAAGGTTTTCCCTAGGACAGCTCCCTACCCCAGCAAGCCTCAGCTCCATTGCACTTATATTGGACCCTGCACCTGCAGTGAAGGAATCTGTGCCAACTCCAGGTGCCTCCCATTTTTGGGTTGAGAACATATTATAGGTACCCCTCTCCATTGAGGTAGTCATCCTAGAATATCACTTGCTCAGAAATCACCCTCCTCCTGGGCAATCAATAAAGAGAAAAAAAAACAAAAGTATTTATCATATAGGAGAAAAGCGCCATACAGACAAAACAGACCAGAGGTTTGGAAACAGAAAAGCAAAACAAGTGCAGTTTACCTTCTCAGATGACTACAGCTTAGCCCCTCCTGAAAGACCTGCCAGTGTTCTTGGATATCAGCCTTCCTGCTGACTCTACCAGTCCTGGCAACTAGGGCCATTGGACCCTGCCAAGCCTGAGATTTAAAAAGCACTTATTCAATCCTAGCAAGACCCTAAAAAGCCTCCAAGGTTAGCCTCCTCCCCAGCCTCTCCCTCCCTATCACTATTATTCTACTGCTGATTTGTCACCAGGACTCTCCAGTAGATTCGTGTCTCTCTAGGACACCTGGGGCCTCTCATTGGAGGACTATTTCTCTCAATTCCTTCTCTGTTGTGGAGTTGATTTTCCTCATCACAGGTGGACAATATCTTAGGTGTGTGCTAAATACCTCACTTGATCATTTTCCAGTTACATCATGAAATGACAGAAGTACATAGGATTAAAATCTGATTTGGGAGAATACCCATGCATTCCGCACCTAGTTTTGAGGTGTGCTTTCCTGGCTAAAAAAGAAAAAATGTCAACAGCAAGCTACACTGTATCAACAAGAATGTCTCTTACAAATCAAGAGAAGTGGTTCTGCTCCATTTAGCACTGGTGAGGCTTCACTCTGTCTAGGTTTGGGCTCCACACTTGTGAACAGATTGGAAAGAGTCCAGTGGAGACTGACAAAAATTATTAGAGGCCTTGAAGGCAGGATTTATGAGGAAAGGCTGAAAGAGTCAAGGTTATTTAATCTGGAGAAAAGAAGACTTGGGGGGATTTGATTTTACAATCTTTAGATATCTGAAGGGTAATTATAAAAAGGATGGAGATAGATTGGAGATATATTTTTATCTATGGCTGTAGGGCAAAGGACTAGGTGCACTGACAGCCTGCAGCAGAGGAAAATTTTGGTTGGAGATTTAGGAGAAACTTTCTGACTGTGAGAGTGGTCAAGCATTTAAACAGGCTACTAAGAGAAGTTGTGGGATCTCCATTTGCTTTCTGTGTGATATGGACTAAAGAGAATCAAAGACAGGATAGCCGATCATGCCAGCAGCATGTGAAAATTAGTCATCCTAATGACCTAGGGCAGGTGTTGGGTAACTTCTCCTAAGTCATGAGCCCTTACCCTGCATGTGAGGGTGAATCATTACTCTGTATTTCTTTTTTTATCTTTTTTTAATTAAGTGCGAGTGGAGACAGGATCTGTGTCATATTTGGACATACTGCAAATAACAGATATTGTGTTTTCATGTATGCTGGGGAAATGACTCAAAGAGAGGGGAAAAATTACCCTGTCAGGTTTAAGGAAGAAAAACAAAAGCAGTAGCCAGTTTATATCCTCCTGGCTTAGCATCATGATATTTACAGGGGAGATGGGTGAACTCACTGTTTTCGTTTAGTTTTGAAACTCTTTAATACCTAAAGGCTTTGAAAGCTTTACTCATACTTTATTACTAGTGAATTAGTTTTAAACAGAGGTGAGAAAAAGAGAAGAAAAAGAAAATGGAATAGAGACAATCAAACTGTAGATACTTGTGTAAACCTTGAGAATTGTTTGAGAGTTATTTAAAACCCAGTCACAACATCATCCTGTCACCACACCATCCTGGTATGAAGAAGAGATGAGCATTTTCATGTCTCTCTTTTATCTTTGAGTTATTTTAATGCTATTCTTCAAAAAGCATCCGGTGTGCAATCTGTATATACATGAGTTGACTGGAACTTTACAGTTGATTTAAAACATGTTATGAGAGTGCTGTTGAATGATACCTAGAATAACTTCTCTCCCCAAAAACCAAATGAATTGTTATTGCATCTAACCGCTGTAATCTAGGAAATTAATATTCCCCATGTGGACCTAAAAACATGGGTGTCTTGCATTGGTGATGCATAGGAGGTGCATGCAGGTGCATGTGCACCCCCTGGAAGTGCCAGCTGTGAAACTAGAAGTGTACTTCTGGTTTTGCTGCTGGCTCGGCAGTCGGCCACTGGGGGACCCCCCCCATCGGTGATCTGGTTCCCCCCCCCCCAACTCAGGAGGCACCAGTCGCCCATGGTGTCTTGGACAGCTCATGTTGAACTCTTGTCAGTTTACTTTAAAGCAGGATCTATTTACTTGGTGGATAAGGGGATTATACTTTCACTGAAGTATAGTGTCCTATGGATTCCTACACAGATATGTAGAGTAAACTTTACTTCAATTTCAAAATCAGAAGTCTTTCCTCATAATTTGTAATTGTCAAGAGATTTGAGGTGATAAAATTCTCATTCTTGGTCCTATAAATATAATGTACAGGCTTTTAAATAAAAGTAAGAAGAATGTTGCTCATGCAATTTAATTAGAAAAAGATCCTAAGGTAAACAACCTCTTAATTTATTGTGGTGTTCTTCAATATCCTTGTGAATATATTACATGTTTCTGCCCCTGGGAATTCTAAAGTTATTCAGGTATTCGTTAGGAAGTAGATACCAGAGCTTGTCATAACATTGAGTTTGTATAAAGGCAAATCTAAAATGGGTACCTTGGAGCCTTGTATGCCTTTAAAATCCAAAGGCAACCAGTATTTTCCATTTATCTTTAAAACAAAGTCAAAGAATAAGGTGGCAGGAGTCCCAATGTGTTATCTATTCCTAGCGATTATAAACTCCTGTTGGCAATGGGTTGAATTGAAATTAAATTCTTCTCTTCAATCTTCTGTTGCGCAACTTTAATTTTCTCTTGGAAACTATAGTATGCCAATGTTACCACATGTAAAGCTTTTATGGGGTCTGTGTTTTCTCATTAAAGAAAGAAGTCTATGTATGTAGACACCAGAGCCTACCCTGTTTAAAGCACAAAGTACACAGTTAGCAGCTGTTCAAAAACTTTTTCTTGTTATCTCTATTTGTTTAAATTGTTAAATTGCTTCCATGAAATGCCTGCAATCATAAGGGAATAATTTGTATAAGTGGATGAATTTTGTCTGTTAAGAAAAACTGAAAATACTCTTAATATTTTTCTTTCCCTCCTTTGGTGCAGTATCCAGCTGCCCTGATGAACCTTGGAGCCATTCTTCATCTCAATGGGAAACTCATAGAGGCTGAAGCAAACTACCTCCGAGCTCTCCAGCTTAAACGTGATGATGTCATAACCCAGTCAAACCTTCGCAAACTCTGGAACATCATGGAAAAACAAGGTTTAAAGACCTCCAAAACATGACACAGAATAATCTAGTTTGTTTTTTTTATTAATTGACTCAAATCCAAAATAAAAACTTCCAGGAAGTTATCTGTCAGAGCTCTCATTGGACTTGACTGCCAGAGTCAGGGGTCTTAATTGCTGCTAGGAAATCCTATTGTGTATTTTTGGCGTAACTTCTTGCCAAAAAAAAAAAAAAGACTTCTTGGGAGCTTCACAAAGGAGTTAAGTGTTACCCCACAAACATATTTAATACCATAACACTTAAAGGAAGGTATTCTTGCATACCTGACAAGTCATCACAATTAATCATATATTGCTCATTTCCACGTGGGTTCTTGAAAATTATACTGTCCTGAAGACACTGAGGGAAGACTGTGTAGAACACACCCAGCCACCTGGGAGTAAAAGAGATAATACTAGCTTAAAGTATTTGCTGAGGCTGTAATTCATTAAAATGTATACTAAATCCAATGTGTTTGCAGTTTGTTTTAATGCTGCTGTATCTCTCTTTAGGATTGCTTACTTATCAATTCCACAGACTTATACAACCATCCAGAAAAAGTGTCATTTGTGGTTCTGATAGTACTTAAAATTGTTTACTGAATAGTTGCATATATTATTTCAGCTTGTTGTTAAGAGTTTGGACGTAGATTACCTAAGATACTCAACGGAGTATGATTGGTTTTGCCTGTCCTAAACAAAATAAGGGACAGTCTGGTGTGCTACATCTGACCAATATGAGAGCCTAATAGGTATCATTAATTCTGTGAATTGTCCCGTTTTATACAGAAACCAATGCTTGCCCTCATAACAAGTGGGGGACAGGCTGTAGTCTTAGGAAAAAATGTGGGGACTTTTTTTTTTTGGCCTTATCCTACACTGTGTTTAACTCCTTTTGTGCTGTGGTTATTGAAGACCTTCTTTAAACAGAACTGTCCACGCTTTTCAAACTACAGTATTTTTGTACAAGTTCAAGCTGGGTGAGTTTTACAAATACTAAAATCAAATATGCTACTAATGACACTTATCAGCAATTTCCATTGCCTATGCCAGCAACTAACAGGAGGGATTGGTTTTTAGTTGAGCATCCTCAAAAATAGTGTAGATGAGAAATATGTAACAAAGGCTTCCAATTGTTTGAAATATTTTGGAATATTTTTGACGGCTTGTCTTCTCAGATTGTAACTATGTATTAGGTATTTGTTTATATCCAGACATGCATAGAAGCAACAGAACTATCACAATTCTCAATGAAGTTTTTTTTTTTTTGGGTGGGAGGGGTTCTGCTTCAGATAATTTGCTTCCCATACAAATTCATAAAACACTTTTTTTTTAAATGTTTCATCTTATTAAAGTTTTAGTCCAGACCATTTGCTAGCTGCTTTCTTTTGTTGCAACAGGTACTAGTGTATGTGAGAATTTCCTTTCATTTAATGACCAGTATCTGCTTCAATGTTCATGTCACAAATGAAATATATATATAGAATGTTAAGTGCTCGAGCACCTTGGTCTGAAGTTTCTTCAGGTTCTCTTAAAACGCTTTGTACTGAAAAAGCTTACTTTTTTTTTTAGTATTTAGCATCATTCCAACTAAACTATATAGGAGAATACTTTGCTGTATTTATTTATTTATTATTTGACAGCAGCAACTTTTCTTTCATTAGGACAATAATCTGCAACAGTTGCTATCTTATTTTGTTTGGCTACCTTTTTTGTGGATAGTTGTTTGCTTAAAGGTAAATGGGACATATGCATATACTCTACATTATTGTACATTATCCTCCTATTCTCTTTTTTCAACCTCTACACCAGGGAGTAACTATTCTAAGTCAGCATAAATGCAACTTGTAATAGGTTGTTGGAGTCTTTTCTATTTGCTTGTTTTGGTTTCTGGGAGAGGGGGGACATTTTTGTTTTTTTTTTTCTTTTCAATTCAGCAATTACATGCTTTAATCAGTAGGTTCACAACTGTCCTACTATAGGTGCTGGGGGCATGGGGTTGTTGGGTTTGGTTGAAAGCATCAAACTTTTACTTAAATAGTGATATGGCTACTTAAGCAAAACTTAGTGGTCAGAAGATGGATTTCAATTTTTTCATGATCATCCACTGAAGCCAATGGTAAGAATATAATGGTGGCTCAAGTTTATTTTCCCTTTTTTTGGCTGTCTGACAAACTGTAAAAGCAAATTAGATATTAGGCCATGAGTGAATTGAGTATATAAGTGTGATATCCTGCAGTTTTATTTATTTTAACAGTCATCAAACTTTGGTGGCTTCCTGGTCATAACTTTTTATTGTGTTATATGTGTCTTCCTTTCAAGCTGTGTTCATTCTTGTTTCGTAGTTTTCATTCATTGTACAAAAGCCACTCAACTGATATGGTTTCATCCTGCCTTTAATAATTATCTGAGGGGTTTTTTTTAAATTTATTTTAAAAAGGACTAACAGAAATTTAATGAGACTGTCCCTGAATACATTTCAATTTAGGGCTAGGCTTGATAACTTTCTTCTTTTGGAATAAGTTTAAAACATGTTTAAAATATGTCTCTCTGCTCAGGGATTTAAGGTGGATTATTGCAGACAGTGCTAAAAAATAAAAGAGCACAAGACAAGTTTACTAAATTAAAATTTTATTTTTTGAAAAAAACTGTTATTTGTATAAATTATCAAGATTTGTAGGCTTTCCTTTTTGTAGAAATAATTGTTTATGTGCCAGATAAGAAAATTTTGATTTTGTTTTCAATAATAAAGCATTGACAACTAATACATTGTTCATGCCTTTATCTATTGCTAAAAATACTGCACTGACTGTTTTATTACTGTAAGCTACCAATTTATATTTACTGTTTTTTCATCAAAGTTATATACAATGTAAGCAGAGTACAGGTTTGTCGCAGTTATGATTCAGGTATACCATACTGACTTTAAAAAAAGTGTTTTTACTGATATTTTCAAAGCCCTTATTCCAACATTTACAAATGTAAAAATCTGTCTTTGTTTTACCTGGAAATGGTGTTAATAAGTGCTCTCTATTCAGATAAAGCTAACAGAAATGTAATATTTTTCTTGAGTCTCTTAAATATTAAACCCTGGCTTTGAATTATTTGGGGAGGATAACTTTGTCAATAAGGGCAGGAAACACTGATGAAGAAGACGGTATATAGTTCAATTTTTATATTGACATAAAAATGTGATTATTATATGCAGTAAATGGCATAGTTATTGAATGTACAACTGTTCACATGAAGTCCAATGCCAATCCTACCCTGGGTAAATGACCTCAGCAAGCATACACACACAGAATTCTCCAGTGTACCTAATTATATATACCCAGTTACCAATGCAGCCTTTCCTGTAATGTCAGGTCTGCAGTGGGCCCAGAAGAGCTGTTCTTCAGCTACATGGGAGACTTTGCCGGTGGATCTACTAGCTAAGTCTTCTATGCCTCAGAAATGTTGCTTGATATGGCTAGACCTTTGCACTGCATCTTGGATCAACAACTCTCAGAATTTCACTATCGTGCTCAGCCTGTGCATAAGTTCCTTTGAGTCTCTGAATTCCCTAATTGCTCCTTCATCACTTTCCCTTGAGGATCTGTTCTCTCAGACCAACATCCCACACATATTTCACCCCAAATCCTGTTCTTTCCCCATTAGCCTACCTGCCAACATATCTTCTGCATTCTCCTCACACTGTAGCTTGACAGAAAATGAAGACACGGATATTTGTGCCCTTAATTCAAGTGCCACAGCACTCTCTGACAGCTGGGAAGAATTAGTACAGTAGAACATCTGCACAGTTGTTGCAGATTGGTGGGCTATATGAAAGCAATTTTAGTCAGAACAGAAACACATACATGGGAAATCTGAAGAAAATCTCATATATGTATATTCATTTTCTTACCCTTTTACCCTTACGTTCTTGGAAATATGACCAGGATGCCATTCAGATATAATCCAGGTCTCACCATTTAGCTTGCCCCCACAAATTGAGAAAGACCATTGCACTTCTCACTGCTGGATGTTTAATCACTCTATGATGCGGTAATTTAGTGATACAAGTCTGTATCATAAATAAACAAATGTACTGTCTCTGTGATGGCAGGCATGCTGCTGTTGTCTGTAACCATATGAAAATGGAAAAGGAGTCACAGTGGGAGAGAATTTTCTTCCAACACCAAAGAAAGAACTTCATTCAAAGATGAAAGTTGAAATGAAAGCTGCCAGTAAGTATCAGTAACTTAAAAGTAAGAAAGTCAAAGTAAAATAAATAAATTATAGTAACATTGTATCCAAAACCCAAGCATTGCAAACACAGGAAATTCTGATTTAAGATTAGAGTGCAAAAACATCCAAACGTTAAGTTATGGAAATGTATGCTTTTAAAGCCTCCCCCTATCCCCCAGGAAAAAATAAACCCTTAACTCTTTTCTTCTTTTTCCTGGAATGATGTTATGTAACACTAGATGTTAATCATTAAGCTGTGTGTGTGTGTGTGTGTGTGTGTGTGTGTGTGTGTGTGTGTGTGTGTGTGTGCGCGCGCCCAAGTGAGAAGGAACTTCTTCTGTTATCAAATCTCTAGGGATTTTTTTTCATGTTTAACTAGCCTAATGGTTCATCAACTGCTTTCCCAGAACTTGAGTTCTAGATTGCAGATCTAATTAAGGTTAACAGTGCAAAGGAGAACAGAAATATTCATATAAATGTTAGAAGAACCTTCCAAAGGGTTCTCAGGAAAACTATAATTTTTTTTTATAGCTTGAATATAATTAAAATATATTTTCATATGCAGCATTTAAAATTGCCTTGAGAGTAAATAAGTTAAATTATCCTAGGTGCTTGAACTAGTAGGCATTTCCATACAAGCCTTGTTCATTTTTCATTTAACTTTGTGACAGGGAGACTTCAGGGAGATTGCTCCTACAGACATTCAGTTTATCCTGAGACAGTTGTCACTCTCCTAGGAGAAACCAAAATTGTACAGCTGTTCAGGCTTTTTCTCGCAAAGTAAAAATGTCTGGTTCAGGAGAAGAATGCCCTGGGAACAACCAGTGCTAAATCATTCCCAGGTGAGTTTCTCCTGTGAAAGCAGGTATCTGTAATGCTGAGAGAGTGATCAAGATTGCACAGAAATCTGTTTAAGAGTTCCTTATATTAAGTTCTCTCTGTAAAGTCATATATGCTGGAAACCATTTGTAGTGCAAAGTAGTATTAGTTGTTCTTCCAAAAACTATGAAAAATACTATATATTTTTGCATATATTATCTATTAACATTTTACTTCTCTACAAGCATCTGTTTTGTAGAATAGCTTGAACTTATTTGTAAATGTGATGTTTATGAAAGTAATGGCTGAGTAATGAGAGCCACAAGGTATTAAAGTTTGTAACATGCACAAAGGAGAGTTCAGATATAACTGGTAAACATGAATTCAGTTTTGATCTTAAAACTAATTTTAACTCGAATGTACAAATATGGAATTCCAATGAACCAAGTGGAGATGCACTTGTTTAGTTCCAACACCCTCCCCCCCATATTATAATTATACATAACTTAGAATTTTCTCCTTTCATTCAGGAAAATATTTTTTCCTCCTAGTTTTCTGGAGAAATATTTTTGGTTTTTAAATCATTACAGTAAAAGAACTTTTAATGGTGTACTTTATTTATTATTCTAACATGCTTATGCTTGCAAACATTGCCATAAGGTTTTCTGCAGTATGTCAATGATTAACCCAACTTACTGTTTCTTCTATTTTACAAATTCCTTATTCTAGCTTGTATCCACCCTGCAAAGCCACCATTCCAGCAAAAACTAAAAACTCACACACCCACAAATGCTGGAATCCAGAGCGCTCTGGGTATTGTGGTTATTTCATGTTCATACAATACATGGGAATTGGCAGCTGGGGAGGCACAGGGGGGGCAGGGCATCTGTTTTGATGAATATTCTGAGCTTATTTGTAAATGTGATGTCCCCCTGCCCTGGCAGCAGGAAGCTCCTAGCCCTGGCTTCATCATTGAGGAAGGGGACTTAGAAAGAGCTGCAGGGGAGGGGCCAGGGTCATCGTTTCATAGTAGCTAGGGTCAGGAGGGACCTGAACAGATCATCTAGCCTGACCCCCTGCCACAGGCAGGAATGAATACTGGGTTCACAAGACCCCAGACAGGTGATCATCCAACCTCCTCTTGAATTTGTCCAAGGTACGGGCGAGGACCACTTCCCTGGGAAGTTGGTTCCAGATATTGGTCACCCTAACTGTAAAATATTGCCTTCTGATCTCTAACCTAAACCTATTCTCCATCAGCTTATTACCATTATTCCTCATCACCCCAGGTGGTGCTGGGAAGAAAAGAGCTCTACCTATTTGCTATTGATCTCCCCTGATGAGTTTGTAGCCAGCCACCAGGTCCCCCCTCAGCTTTCTCTTGCTGAGGCTGAACAGGTTCAGGTCCCTCAGTCTCTCCTCACAGGGCCTGTCCTTCTGCCGTCTCACCAAGCAGGTGGCCCTCATCTGAACCATCTCCAGGCTGGCCACATCCTTTTTGAAGTGTGGCACCCAGTATTGGATGCAGTACTCCAATTGCAGCCTGAACAAAGTCCCAGTCCCCAACTCCAATCCACCAGCGAGGCAGCAAGCAGCGATCCCACAGCTGGGTGGGGATTCTCTGCCCAGCCAGGGGCTGGCAACTAGCTGCCCCACAGGTTGATGGGGCAGAGGGCTTGGACCTTTCCCACCCCTGCAGCCCTTTCCAAGCCCTGAACCTTGATCACCTGATTGGGGTGCAGGGTTATGACCTGCCCCAACCAAGACAGTTCCCAGCCCCTCTCTGTAATTGCAGGGTGCGTGCAGAGCTGGGTGAGGAACAGGCTGGGGAGCTTGTTCCTCACACAGTTCCATGAGAGCAAAGCCTGTTTCTCACTCAGCTCCACTCCCCAGCCTGTTCCCTACCCAGCTGTATGAATGTGGAACTGGGTGAGGTACAAGCTTCCCAGCTTCTACCAGCAGGGAGCTCCCAGTGCCAGCTCTGTGACCCTGGGGCCGGTGCTGGGAGATCTTTATCTCCCAGCCTGAACTCCATGGTTATGGGGCTTAGGCTGGGAAATGCTCATCTCCCAGTGCCAACTCTGTGGTTGTAGGGCTGGCACCAGGAGATCCTTATCTCCCAGCCCAAGCCCCGAGTACCAGGGCTTGGACTAGGAGGTAAGGATCTCCCAGCTCCAGTCCTGCAGTCGTGGAGCTGGTGCTGGGAGATTAGGATCTTCCAGCCCCCTGCTCTGTGATTTTGAGGATAAGGATCTCCTAGCCCCTGTGGCAGAAGGCCACCTCTGTTTCTCCCCAAAAACTCTGATCTGTGACAATTTGGTTATGATGGGCCCTGCAAATGCAAGTAGCCAGCTTACTCATGATTAGCAAGGTTTACTGCACAGGTAGCATGTGCATGTATAGATGCACACACTTACCGCACAGTAAACTACTCTACTTTACAGTAAAGTGTCTCATGTAGATGTGCCCACTGTTACCTATAGTATGAAAATAAATTCCTCCAAGTATTCTTTGTCACTGGTTCTCTTTTCAAATATTTGTTCTTTCATTTTTGGTTGTTCCTAACTATGCCTATTGCTTTATTTTTATATAATAAAATATTCTTCATTAAGATTAATCGATAAAAGAGCAATGCATAATTTAAATATTTTTAATTAAATGAATAACTAAATGAGGTTTACACAATATTCCCATAATGCCAAACAGGTTAACCAGATTC